CCTGTAGCCAGCCCCTAAGAAGGCGTGGCTACAGCTTCCCCTACAATTCCCCTTTTAGTCTAAAAGAGGAATAAAACTTAACAGTGTAAAATATCACATCCTATCTATTTTAACTAAACCCTAAAGTCATCTGACAGAGGTATCCAAGCCTGAACACCTCGTTCCAATCCCAACCATAAACAATAGGAAGCTATCCCTAACTAGGTATACATTATCCTAAGTGACAACAATGGGGAAAGGGGGCGTAGCATCCTCCGAGTTACTTCCTGCTGAAATGGGACGACGATAGTCATGTGGGGTCCTGTAGGAAGAAAATGTTAGTATAGTGGAGTCTTGAATGAATTGTATCCAGTCCATGTTAGATGGGATTCACTTGATTGAAGATCTCGCTTGAAATCCTCAGCTTGATTGAAGTCAGTACCCGAAGCTCTGGCGGGAGTGTCAGTTGAAATGGAGCAAGTTGGATCCAGTGCAGTTGAGGAGATGTGGCCCATTTTCTTTCCAGGGTGTCCAGGGATTGCTGTCAGGCAGGTCTTCTTTGGCTGTGTGGGACTCAAACATAAACAGTTAGCAGAGAAATGTTTGCTTGTATATGTACACATGCTGGGGAATGCAACCATGAGAGCATAACAATTATGAGAGGGTGCACACCTTGAGAGAAAGATCCAAGAAAAGACAAAGACAGTCCCCAACTTCTTTTATTCTGTATTACATCAATTGGCTTCTTGATGCAATACAGAAACACTAAGGTCTAGTTAAATAACGTGCTTGGATTTTAGAGGTGGAACGCCTTCTTAGGGGCTGGCTACAGAGTCCCTCCTAAGTCAGGCTGTAGTGACTGTCAAGACCCCCAGGGGTGGGTCTGCTGCTGCAGTCTGGTGGGGATTTTAATTTGGGACATTAGGGAAGACATACCTGTGGTCCTGCCACCCGATAAGTTCCTAGTAAATGAGGCATAGGGTAGAGGGAGGTAACAGGGACACCCACCCTGTCTGAGGAGGAAGGTGATCTCTGTGGTGCCTACATCCCTCACCCCCCATAGTGGGTGTGTGGGAAGGGAAGTATGTGCTTGACCAGGAAACACCCCGCCCCGAAGCTGTGGTCTCACTCCACCTACTTGCTGAGTTAGAGTCCCAAGCTAGTACCTTGGATCTAACAGAGTGCTCCAGACTATCAGGTCTCCAAGAGGTGCAACCTCCCCCCACTGGCCCTCCCCTGTCCCTCTCAAGCATTGTACACACACACACATACTCATGTACGTACACATGTGTACACACACAACACACATGTTCCTGCAGAAGCCACGATCTGGAGAGCACGCAGCAGGCCCCACCATCTGTCTTCCTAACATCGTCCAGATTTCTTCCTCCTGGAGGCCTCTCAAGACAGAGTTGTGGAGGGGGATTTCGGGGATTTGGAAGCAATGGGTTGAGGATGAACTGCAGTGGCCAGAACCCTCATGCAAAGCTCAGCTGTCAAGGGGGGAGTAAGGCCTGGAAGGTGCGGGAAGGAGGGATGGGTGAGGGCTTTGCATGCACGGGGCCCAGCACACAGCATCCTTGGGTGAAGGAAAGCTGGCAGATGAGAGTTGTGGGGCTCCAGAGGCCAAGGCCCTCCGTCTTTTAAGGCCAGCCTTACAGATTTGAAAACCAGCTTGTAGAGTACCCATCCACACCTCGCTGGGGACCCAGCCTGGCCACCCCTCTGTCTCATCTGTTCCACTCCAACAGGACACAGAGGTCAGACCTCACCTGCCCAGCACAGTGGCACCACTCAGCTTGGCACCTTCCCACCCTCAGACCCTCCTCTCATCGCTGCCCAGCCATGGTGAGGGTAGCTGTGCTCCCCAGGCTGCCAGGACAGCCACACAGTGAGGCGCAGGCCAGAGCCTGAAGGTGGACTTGCAGACAGCTTTTATGTGATTGAAATCCTTTCAGTCATTAAAGCGCAACTTGTTGGCCTTTTGGAATATTCACAACCCAGTTTGCACAGTGGTGTGTGTGGGCCAGCTTCTGGGGAGTGCAAGACCAAGGATCACTGGGCCTGGGTTCAAGGCCAGCCTGACAACACAGGGCTGCCTGAGGCTTTGTCACCGACAACAGAAGAGTCATCATCTTGTGCAGCCATTGCCTTGTTTGCCTCAAAGCATTTTCATCATCCAGAGGAGGCCTATGCTGTTAGCCTCTGCTCTCTCCACCCCTCTCCACAAGAAACGTCAGCCCAGCCATCCCGTGTGTGTGTGTGTGTGTGTGTGTGTGTGTGTGTGTGTGTGTGTGTGTGTGTGTGTGTGGGGGGGGGGGGGG